GAATTCTGTGGGAGGAAGACGTAGATGACATCCTGGATTGGATCGCGAGGGACTCAACTCTTACGCTACGAAAGATGCGAGTACGAGCAGAACTGGACAAGGACATTTCGAAGTCAACAATTGCATGGCACCTGGATGGTCGATTGATAACTATGAAGAACATTTATCAGGTTCCCGAGGAAATGAACAATGAGCGAACCGAAGCGATACGCAGGGAATTCCTTCAGCAGTTCCTTCAACTTGAGAGCGATGGCAAGTTCTTCATTTGGATTGACGAAGCGAACTTCAACGTTTACTGCAAACGTACTCGTGGTCGGGCGTTGAGAGGAGTGAGGGCCTGTTGCAAAGTTGTCAACAGTAGAGGCCTCAATATGCATTTGATCGGTGCACTCAGAAGGGAAGGCAAAGCGTCGATGACCACCCGGAGAGGCTCATTCGCAGGTCCACAGCTGGCCGGGCTAAGCTACGGTCAAAGGTTGCAACTGAAATAATGACAAAACTGTACACCTGACTAATGGAGACACTATGTCCTGCGTGCAGTGTAGACATTTGTCTGTACTCGTGTAAATGCAACATATTCACCGTGAAAACAAGGATCAACTGTGCAAGCTAGAGAGTGCACCACATAGTGAATGTGAACGGCAGTATTATTAGTTACGTATCTGTGTGCGTCGAAGAAATCTTCTGGGTGGGTTGTTTAAAGCGTTCCGATGTTCGCACGGCTGCACTTTGAAAACCCCAGTTGTGAAAAATCTGATGTTTTGCAATCTACATTTCCTGAGCTCAGATAGGTGGTAGTAGTGACTTTAAAATTCCGCTTGTCTGTATCTGATGTTCTGTCAGTACCACATTTAACAACGCAGAATTATTTCGACAAACGCTAAAAATTTGAAGTAACGGATTCTTGCGCACCCATTTGGTGTTGAGAGACATATGGGCCATATATATTCCGGCTGCTTACACTACTTCGCACTTGCACGATGGGCAATGACGTTTATCACAAATGGCACCAGGATACAAGCGATGATCAGTTATCGTGAAACTTGATCATCCTGTCCACGGTATTGGCTCAGTGTAACATTTAGTCAAAGGGATAGCCACCTTTTTGACGGACGAGGGTTTCAGACACTGGGTGAGCACCGAGAAGACATCCAGGATAATAAAGCAGGCCAAGAAAATAGATTCGAACCGGTGACCATATGATGGCAATCCAGGCGTGCAGACCATGCTGCCACCGGCTTCCCGGTCTCTTTTCAAGCAAGCAAGCAGTTTCGCCCTGAAATCGTTGCTAGTCTCCTGGTGTTCTATATCAGCTGGAACAGGTTTGCGAGCATCTATAAATTCCTGTGACTGCGTAGTGACCCAATGTCCACATTGGCGATTTCATTTGCCACATTAAGACATACCCACCGCTAACAAAGTCTGCCGGATTTTCGACCAGTGATGTTCTATTAGGCGGACAGCTATTAGACATTCATTTTTTGTGAACGAGCTTAAGAGCTATTCTTTTCTCTTCCCATTTTCTACTTCTTGACTGTTGTTTAAACGCTCTACTTGATTAGCCCGATTGGTACACCCACGTCATTGCTAATGGACGCTCATCGTCATGTCCTTTACAGCAGCGCCATTTGCAAGAACACATTCCATTGGTTATTTCTTCTCATCAGTCTTCTACTTGGTTGTGTTAAAGGAATATTTAGTTGTCACACGATTATTGTACTAGTTTTTAATTTTTGGGTCTGCATTTCTTATTCTCGTTTGTTTCGTGACATTTGTCTAAACGCTTCATTTCGTTATTCTGATTGGCCAGTGCCCGTCACTGTAAATGGATGTTTACTATACGCTTGGAGTACCATGATGCTATTTTTAAGGACATATGCGATTCGCTCTTGAGTACACGGTTGCTCATTCGCCCGTTGCATTTGACGTTTTTCTTTTGTTGGTTGGCTCAAGTGTAATTTAGTAGCTTCCCTTCATTTTGTCTTCAAAACTACGTAAGCAACTGTGATTTCATGTATACAAGTCTCTTTCTGGCTCGTCTTTGGACTTCTTCTTGCGGTCGTGGGGTGAAGGCGTCAGCGGCGACACAACATGTTCAATTACGTTCGATGAGCGCTTATTCAGCTCGGATGACAAAGTAGATTGGCGTTCGGAATGCGGCGACAATAGAAGAATCAGTCTGGTACCCATCGCCTCCAAATGGCTTGCTTCTCTAAGCTTTTACAGACTGATTATCCCTCGTAAAAGCCAGATTCGTGAAGATCAAGTCGGGTTTCGTCGAAGTCGGGGATGCATTGACCACATCCTCAGTTTATGTCAATTGCTGCAGCCTGTCACATATATTGGCAGCCCACCGTTGTCGTGTTCCAAAACAACAAAGGACCCTTCGACTCGGTGGATGTTGGTGCACGTTGGAACTATCTCCTAAGGACAGGTGTGCCCGAGAAATATGTAAACGTTATCCGAGCGCTTTACGCGCGTAACTTGGACAGTGTGAGGGCTTACGATAAACCGTCTCATCCTTTCAATATCTCCGACGGTGTTAGACAAGGATACCCGCTGTCACACTTCCTCTTCAACTTCGTTATTGACGAAGTCATGGAGATCGTGGTCACAGCACACGATTTGGAAGGTGTGGAGCTGCACCCAGGTGAACCATTTCTTGTCTTGGGGTATGCAGTCGATATTGTCCTCATCTGTGACAGGGCGCAAACCTGCCAAGCGGCTCTGGACAGATTAACATTGGTTGTCAACCATTTCGGGCTATGCTTTGTATCCCCGAAGTGCAAAGCCTTCATCCAAGTTTGGCCGGGATCGCCTCCTGCGCTGACCTAAGTTGGGGATCAGCTAGAAGTAGTTCAAGAGTACAACTACCTAGGCAGTTGTATCAACGTCATTGGAAGTGAAGACGAGGCCACAAGTCGTATAGCAAAGGCACGAGGCGCTTTTGCTAGCCTTCGCCGTCTATGGCACAGGAGCGGTAGAGTGTACAATGCAGCCGTACGTTCGACCCTAATGTACGGTTGTGAAACCTGGCCCATTAGATCAGCCGACATAAAGCGATTAATTACGTTGGACCATCGCTACCTTCGCAGTTTGGCTCATGTCTGGTGGGAACACCGTGTGAGCAATGAGCGTGGTCGAGACCTTGTTTATGGCGTAGGAAGAAGCACCGAAGTGCTCAGCACCGTTATTTCACGCACTAGGCTCCGATGGCTAGGCCACGCGTTGCGCATGTCAGTCCACCGACTCCCGCGATGTGTGTCCTTTGCGCAAAGCGATGACTTGGTTAAGAGGAATGAAGGCTGTTACTTCGAAGTTGGCCACTGTTAGAGTCTCTCGGATCCCTCGTTCGGGTCCGAAAGACAATGAACACGTTTGGCTGGATACACTTGTTGACATGGCTAGGAGTCGATATCAATGACTTTTGTGTTGAGTGTTTCTTCATCCCTCCCCCTCCTGCTTAGCCTCATGCTCCTACCACGATCTCAGCAATTAGACATATAACTTTTTTTGGCACAATATCCGACTATTAGCTGTCCGAAACGATGTTCATCCGTTACTGGTGACTCAGCTGGTGTGCCTCCGTTGAATGTTATTTGCCTGTCTATTGAATTGCGGCTCAGTACCTGAGGTGTTTTCAACCTGTAGCTAACGTGTGTAATGATGATGCTGATGCTGACAATAGACTTTATGATCGAGGCTAGGTTTGATCAAATTGGGTTGAACTCTCCAAATCATACAAGCTATTTAGCTATCTAGGAGATCGTTAAGTCACTGGGAAAGATCTTGAGTAGTCAGAATGCATGCAGGGCGTATACTCATGGACCTCAAAAATGTCTGAACTTGCGGTATAAGACGACATAAGTAGAATAGCTGGTTGTCTGCAGCTTGCTTGATGAAACAAGCGAGTTGGAACTTAAGTGCTCTAGAATTGGGGTGAACTTTTGCCCATTGTTTCAGGAAAATTCGACCAAAAACTATGTGGCGTATACATCGTGGACCAAAACCAGTGGGGTTTGGTGTTATGAATGATTGAAGTCCTTAGTTACCAAATCATGAGTTTAGCTAATAGCTGCGGATTACCGGATGGATCGATTTCATTTCTTTCCTTCAACCATCCCGACGGGTTCGCCACTATTTAGTCAGAGGATACGCTATACGAGATCTTTTAGCAACACTGAACACGCGTACTACCAGGTGGCTAAGACTACGTACAGCGAAGAGTTTCACGGCAGTAGACCAAGTTGCAGCCGTACAGAATGTGTTAGACAAGCAATTTAGTAGCTTGAGATTATAGATGGAAACCTTCCAAAATTGGTGAGGTCGTATCGCAACAAATGATGCTGATACCCAACCACCCTGGACCGCAATGTAAGGGATAAAAGTATTGCATTGTTTTATCATCTTTACCCAAACAGGAACTCATTATATCAATACATCCTAAAACCATATGATTTATAAGACATGTTGAAACGCATAAAACTGATACCGCACAATTCACATCATTAACCACGAAACAGACCAGAGTCGGGTACAGTTAAAATCGCAAATATTGGGTCAGTGTTCCTTCGCTGTTGTGAAATATTCATAAGCATGGGGTCAATTCGTGGATCTCCCAAAAAGCAGAGGCGATACGTCAGTTGTTAGAATGTATTATGAGCTTTAAGATAACTTACAGACTGGGTGGTAAGGTTGTCATTTCGATTCACATAAGGAGCTCACTTATCCATGTCCGACCATTAGGCAACACAGGAAAATTGGCTTCCTAGTTTCTCCTATATAGTTTATCTTTATCTTCAGCTCAGTATGATATTAAGATAGATAAGCCAAAAGAGATGGCGCGATTGATGTCCATTCAGACAGTTTTGAGATTTTAGCTAAATATAATCAATTATGAAGTCGTTCTTGCAACTGACACATCACTCCTTCAAGGCTGCTTTTGGTGGGAAAAAATTCGGCGTAGCACTAAAGCACTGTGATATCAACTATCTCTGGGAGTGAGAAAAAGGCTTCATTTGACAAACCACCCATGTCAGATAGAAGTGTGCAAAATAATTTAGCCGTTAGTTTATAAAAATTTCGGGTACATATGGCTCAGGGTGTGGCACGTTCGTCTTTTCACAAGCACAGTGACTTTATATTGTGAAATCTGGCTCCAAACTTCAGAGTTGCTGCGAACGCTCTTCACTGGTTTTCATTCTGTTCATCTGTCTGTACGTTTTACGTCATTGGTGGCTTCCTGAGTTTCAGGGTAGCTGTGCGAACCGGCGGATTTCCTACTCAAGCTGCCTCCACGACTAGAAAATTCACAACTGACGGCATCGACTAATGTACCAAGAGAACAGGGTGTGTAGACATCCAAATTCACCTGGAATATGCGGTAAGAAGTGAGAATTAAGCAGTGTGTTGCTCAGTTTATCGCAGCGCTATCCTCGTGGCAAATGCAAAAAACCCATGGATTTCTGGATAGAACTTTTACTATTATCTGTGGCGATAAGGATGAAGTTGGACTTACTGTGACACTGACATCGGTCCAACGTTTTATGACATACAGTAGCTAGCCACTGTAAAGTTGTGGTGTCAGAGAATAATTGTGAACCTTTTGTGGAGTGTGAGTTCTCCCATATAAGGTGGATGTGCACTCAAGAGCTAGTGTTGTGTCGCGATATTACGTGAAAATAATGGACGCGCCGCCTGATAAGGCTCATGGTGGATCAGAACCATCTACCTATGCAGGAATGTAAAAACACACTCAATCTTTCACCAAATAAACAAACCATACAAGGGCAAGCCACTTCTTTCATTTTTGAATTTCCGCTTATACTCTGGCAAAGTAAGTTGCTGTGCACAGCCTTTGAATAATTTCCGGAGCGCATGATGTTAATCTACTTGTTAAAATGAATGGGCATGCGTGGTTGAGTCCGAGCAGAAATTATGACCCAGAGGTTGTGGCTATACTGACCAAAGAAGCCATCGTGGTGTACTGAAGGGTAATTATTTCTATGGATTCCTTTAGTACCGAATCTTTCATTTATGGTACACTTCGAGTTAGTGGTCTTGTGATCCGTCTGTTTTGGAAGAAATGACATTTAAAAATCCTGCCTGTTAAGAGAAGGGGATAACTTTCTAATCACTGTCAGTACATGGCTGGAAAAGCTTCGGAAAAGCATCCTACCAGGATTCATCAACGTCGGATTTATCGAGATTAGAATGAACAGTATTGCAACCCCGACGCCAGTTTCTGTACTGCTCTTCCATTGATGACAATGAGGGTCTAAGTGATAATGTTCATAAAGGTGAAGAAATGTGCCTCACTTTCTATAGCTATGCAGAAGGCATGGTTTGAGTTAGAGATAGGACTCGCTTCATTTACTTGCTCCACCGACCACTGGTCTTGATGGCAGCAGTAAAATAAGCAGCCAATTCTGTTACACCCCATTCATTGCGGTTAGAGCAAAGCTCTGAGTCAGCGGCAAGCATTTGAACCTTAATGTTAACAATCTAATTTTGTCTAGTCTGTAGCCAGTAGGAATAACCCAGTAGAGAAACCAGCCGAATTGTTTCCGGATGTTAGAACACGGCTTCGTTGCCGCCCAGTCACGCCACGGAACACCGATTAGCCTAGTAACTTTATTTAACTAACATAATGTGTGTCAGCTCAGGATCGATCGACCTACAAGAACAAAGTTCTCAGTCACTGCTGTAAGCGTTTGGTTAAGTGCAGGTAACCAACCAGTTTTCAGAGTAGGAGTAAAGTCGAACTGCTTTGATCAGTGAGGTTAGTCCATAACGTCAAGTAAAACTCATCCCGCTGCGGGACGCGTGTGAAATATGCCAACGGGGTCGCAATGATGACAACTGTTGATTTGTATTTATGAAAATGGCGATAGTGGTACAACAGAACGTGATTTCATTGTGAGTACAGCTTGTTCGTAGTCTTTCTGGCTTGCCTTGGCAAGAAGGAGCCTCCAGAAGCACTTCCTGGGTTGCGGCAGTGTAGCGCAGCTCAGACACTTGGATGATGGGATCGAACCCGAAACACCGTAGTAGCGATAAAGCACCTGAATAACACTTGGAACTTTATCAAAACTACCCCATCCTCCAAAGTAGGTGTGTTCGAGTATGATACGACGAAGGATACCGATCAAAGAACGGTTAGAACACCTGCTTTCATTTCATTGCTAGCGACTGTTTTGCCTGGTGGTCCAATGAAGGTTACTTCAGTGCCATGTAGAAGATGTTATAATAGAGAAGGGTCAGGGTGGATGCACATGATGCAAGGATCTTATTTCGTTTATGCGGGATTTGCATCCATTTGTCACTTGCACTTCGCAGTGTAGCATTCCATAAAGTTGCTCGTAGTTTTCTGGCTACTTTCTCACTCGCAATATGTATCCGTAATTCGTAATGATGAACCAGTCCCATTATCCTTACCTGACGAATATGAATACATACAAAACAAGTTGTGGCGTGTAGTGTTGCGACTGAAGGGACTGCGATCTAGTTAAAAGATCTAGTTAAAAGTTAAGATTGTTCACCGTAATCCATCCACACAGCAAAAGCTTCGAAATGATCTACCAGAAGCTGAATTCTTTTCGTATAACAATCTGTTTGTGTGCTCTTCAGAGTCTGGCATTAGATCAAATATACTGTAGTCAGTAGAGTTCAAACAAGGCGCATCCTTTAATACTCACCTTGCAAAATATTGGCAACCCCAGTGTATTTCTTAGTTGACTATGTCGATAGTGATGAGAAGAGGTGGGTTTTGGCAACTCAGCAGTAGGTGCAGTTTTTTGATTCGGTTCCTCTTCTAGTAACAGGTTAAGGTGGTGGTATCCCATTAGGCTATGATCGAGTGGGCTGTTAAGTGTCAAGAAACCAGACGCCAAAGGTTTGAAATTTTTCCCCTCGGAGAATAGGACGGCTCTTAGTCGAATGATGGTTTGTTCGGGTATTGTCATGCGAGTAAATTCTGTTCTCCATCCATCGAAGTGAATCCTGTATCCGTATGTGCCTGTGCATAGAGAGTGGCAGCTCCCAAATAGATCGCCGCTCGAATGACACTGCGGATCATAAGACGTAAGACTTGTAACATTGTGCACCGTTTGGGAGTGAGACAATTTAGGACAAACATCAGAATCCCGCGTTTCCTGGGAAATCCAGTTCATCAGTTTAGTCACATGTCCTTGTTGTTGGGTTTCTTCCAGTGGGCAAATCTTTTCTGCCTGCAAAATACAGAGCATTTTTTAATAGCATGAGCAGGAGGAAGCAGTTGACAAATCGGTCGAATAGCAGAACTGACGAAGTAGCCGGTATGGCATATTACAGTCATCTTTGGCCAGCATTGGGTTTATGCCCCTAAAGGGGTATCTTCTGCGCTTACACTATCTCTGTGAATGTACCGGAATGTTATGTCTAGCATACATAGAGAGTGAAACGGAAGCACAATTTTCCCCACTGTAGTTTAGTTGCATTTGGGTTGCCAGATACACTTGATCAGTCGGAATTTCTATAAAGCAAAGTTCAAAAAATTAAAAATTACAAATTTCGTGTACGTCAAACAACAAGAATTGTTTCGATAGATCCTTTTGTAGGGACGTCAATGGTCAATTAGGATGTCGAAAGCAAAATTAATGTCGCATTCAAAGTTTTGATTATATTAAAATTGTAAGAATCCCTGAACAGACAGCTGCATTTAGAAAAATGCCATATTGACTGCACCATCTTCAAAGGAGACCAGGGATGACAGGGGAATGTTATAACTAATAGGAAAAAGTCATGAAGTCAAAAATGTAAATACTAAACCACAATGTACTGCTGGCGTTCTAAGGCTGGGAACCCAAAGAGATGAGGTAGTGACTGTGGGTTCATTTTAAACACGCTTTGCCTTGTTCAAGTCCAAGCGGGACTGTAAAGATAGGAGTATCCCGTGAGTGTCCCTTCTTCAGCGGGTCGTTGAACCAGGAGTTAGCAGACTTTGAAACACTTATGGACCTAAAACAAAGACCGCATCACACCCTGTCCAATCAATTAATGCCCACGTATCCTGCCCTAGCAGGCACTGCTAGGCCGCTGATGGGAAGTAAGAAAGAGAAAAAAGTAAACTCAGAAGGCAAAAGAGAACATGGAAAGAGCTAAGCAAGTAGAATACCAAGGTATTTGAGTCATTAAAAAAGAACTGAAAAGTGAAGGTGAGTCAGTTAGGAAAAGGTAAGGTTTGATGTTGCCACCCAAGACCATCGAGCTGGTCCGCAAAGCTCTTAACCGTAGGTTCTCTAACCATGTGATCTGGAAGCGAATTCCAGCTATCTATAATTCGGCGCGATAGACGAGTTTCCGTCCTAATCCTATCAGACCGTGGTTTATGCAGTTTCAGTGGGTGACCGCAGAGATTAGGTAACGTAGTGGGACTAAATAGCCTTGACAAGTTCGGGCCGGTCTTACCCGTCAAAATACGATGAGAATCAGGTCCCTTGTCCTTCGGTAGTGCATGGAATACATCCCCAAACTGAGCAAGCGTTCAGGATACGTCTGTCCCCGTAGACCCTGCGATAATCGAGTGCCTACTCGTAACAAACTCTCCAAGTTCATTTTGTCTCGGATAAGACATGGTAGACAAGCCTGGATACAATATTCCAGGTGGGGTCGGATGAATGCCGAAAATAGATTCACAAACAAGTTGGCTATTATGACTCCGACAGAGCGGCGGATAAACAATATCATACGAAAACACCGGCAAGCAACCTTCTTCCACTTATCGCCAGAATAAAGTGCTGATGGGTGACAGCAGAGAGTTCATCACCGCCGACAACGTATCGGGTGGGAGGATTAGCAGCTCCGATTCGGAGAACAGAGCACTTGGCCCTATTTATGGGCACCAACCGTAAGGTAGACCATTCCCAGAGCCTATCTAAGGCACTCTGAATTGCCTCAGGACCCTCCGGGATATCCACAATATTCCAGAGCTGAAGGCCGTCAGCAAACATTAGTGATGACACTCCTAGCTTCCCCGGTAAGTCATGTACATAGATCGCGAACAACAGTGGCACCAATACCGAGCCCTGCGGGACGTCACTAAGGACAGCTTGCCTGAGCGAAAGGCTACCCCCCACTGGTACACACTCTTCTCTCCCCTCAAAGAATACAGACACCCATTTAATGGCGCGACCAGATATCCCGTAAGATATCAACTTTAGTCAAAGATGAAGAACAGTGTCAAAGCTTTCGAAAAGTCCACGAATAACACGTCTACAGCGTGGCCACTGTCTACCGTGTCGGCCCAGCTTTCACGAGTTACAGGTAGATTAGTCTGACATGAAAATTCCTTACGGAATCCATGTTGCGCAACACTGAGAAGGTTGAATCTATTCAGGTGGTTCTCCACTGAATCCCATATCAGCTTTTCACGTAACTTGACAACTACGATTGTCAAAATGTCAGGCCGGTAGTTCGCGGGCATAGCGCTGTCACCGCCCTTAAAAATCGGACAGATGATTGCCTCCTTAAATTCCGAAGACGCAGCTGTCAAGCGATATTGAAAACCCGCATGTGAGAGGACCACTCAGCTCAGTGGCCAATTCATGCAACAGCTTCAGATGAATTGAATCAAGACCGGAAGCATTAGAAGGATTAATGCGTTGCAGTAGCTCAAAGACCTGAGTCTCCGTTATTTTAACCCCAGCTAAGCAAGAATCCTCTGGAACTCTTGTAACCAATTCAACCTAAGAGATCTCCCCAGCAAAGGCCCCAATATACTGATCACTAAGTATACAAGCCTTGTCCTAGTCAGTTTGCGCATGGGTCCCGTCTGCTCATAATAACGCTGGTATAGACAGTTTTGCCTCGCTGCATCTTGTAACGTAAGCAAAAACTTCTTGGGATTAGCCGCGGCCATTCCGCTAAACCCTGCTCGTACTGGAGACGAGCAGTCCTGAGATGTCGCTCACATTAACTTCTAATCTCTCGATAACTATCATAGATACTGGCTGATGGAGCTACTTGGTAGGTTCGCCAGCATCTAGACCGTTTCTTGAGTAGGTAATTGCCTGTGGTATCTATCCAAGGAGGTTGTGACCGTAACCTTTTTTTCCTCATGAGTGGAATATAAGGAGTGGAGATTTCGGTAAGGTATACCTTCACTTTATCCTAGGCTAACTGGACAGAGTCGGCCATCGTGATTTCACAGTTCAGAACTGAAGTAATTCAACAGCGGTCTGTTGGTGCCTTGAAAGAGCGCATCGAAAGGATACGCATGTGTGATCACCGGCCCCTAGAGGAGGACCGTATGAAACGTCAGTCACGAAGTCCAGGGACTTAGCGAAAACCAGATTTAAAGTAGATGGTATTTGCTTGTCCATATACCTAGTGGGGAAGTTCACGAACTGGTGCAAAGGCACTTGGAGAGTCAGCTCAAGAATGTCTGCACCGAATGTTCCTGACGCCGAATTGCAAGAAAGATCGGCCCAACAGACTACCGGGAGGTTGAAATCCCCTAGAACTAAACACTTATTCGCAGACTGGGTGCGAATAAAGTCAAGTATCCCCCTGGAAGAACTTACAGGACTTCTGTATATCACTATAACTGCAAACTGGGCAGAGGAAGTGCGCAAAACAGCCGATAGGGCTTCAACAGACTGATCCGACTACTGGAATGTGCAGGTCCTCAACACATCTAAATTACAACTCATATACAGTACAACACCTCCGCTTTGGCAACCAACGGAGCGATCAGTACTAAGCCGTGCATAACCAGGTAAACGTAGCTCACCGTCCGTGATATGCGGAAACAATCACGTGTCAGTGAAAGCAAGTATGTCGGGACGAGATTTGTCTACAAGTAGACCCAACTCGTGCACCTTGTTACTTAGGCTAGGCAAGTTGCTAAGTACTACCTCAAGAAAGTCGGTGCGACCATCCCTGGGTCGTGCGCCATCAGGATGGGTTCTGATGGGCGGAAAATAACTTCCGACTGACCACCTGAAAACCTACCAGGCGAAGGCCTTGCTCACCAGTCGCCAGTCTAGTTTTGAGCTCTTTGATAGCCTAGATGGGCAGTGGCGCGCCATCTCAACAAGGACGGTGACTAACGTTGAAGTGGATCACGATCAGTTAGGTCGTTTCACGAAAGGTTGCACAAACACATATGAACCATGAACAATGATTTATAACGGGTAAAAGTGCAGGTGCATGACATGCCCGTAGGGTGTTTCGAGTGAAAAGAAGATAGGTCACGGGATAATGGAATCTTCGGTTCGGGCGATTACAGATTTAACTGCACTGCCATATCAAGGGTTTGCAATTAGAATGTGCGCACACAAAGCAATAAGGGGAGTGGTTATTGATCAGCGAGAAAAAATAAAAATAGCAAGAACAACGCTTAATCTTGTGCAGCTATCCTGGATCGACGGGATAGAGAAATCCAGTTTCTACAGCAGTAGCTTTTATCAAATTGTGTGCAAGGGGTATGGAGTGACTCATTCTCGAGTAGGGTTATGGCACTATCCACTGTCTGTTGTGCGTTAGTGCCAGCATCTGGTGGTCATGGACTATAGCACGTAGTGTAAATGTGACAGAGTATCGTCAAGGCGTTTTTTGAAAAGGGATAGGGTGGGTGCATTAATTATATGTTCCGGGAGGGCGTTCCAAGGCTGTGACACTCGAAGGGAGAAATAGTTTCGCCGACATTCCAGGAGGCTGTACTGTGTGACCAGCTTAAGCTGATGACCTCTTAGCCGGGAGTTTTGACTGAGTATTAGAAGGGAATGGCATGGGTGGTTGGGGTTTCTCAGTATCAGGCACACCGTTATGAGATAGCCCCCTAGACGCCGATAACGTCCACTGTATATTTTGAGAGTCTTCAGCCTGAGTGGGTAGGGGAGGTTGGTCAAACCTCTGACGCTCTTCGTTGCCCTACGTTGTGCAGTATCGAGCGCGGTGAGATGGTGCTTGAGCCAGGGTTGCCACGCTTGAATAGGGTATTCCGCGTGCGGCCTCACATACGCATTAAGCATTTTTGGAAAGACTGAAGGGTCAAACTTCCCGAAAGCTCTGCGAAGAAGGCCGAGGTACTAGTTTGCTTTCTTAGATGCCTTTTCAGTCTGTCTCAAACAACCGAGGTCATCTTGAACTATCACGGCGACATCGCACTCGTGAGAAGCCCGTTGTCGAATGTGTGGTCCTAGGCGGTACTTGTGCATACTCTTGTGAAGTATGCTGAGAACTTTGC